TATTTTTCTCCCCAAACTCTTATTCAATGTTTTGTTTTCAGCAGTGTTTTTTGATCCCTAGAGACTTCCTTTTCTTGCTTGCAAACATACATCTAAAAAGATGTCTGGTATAATTTCATCTGGCATTTTTAGATGAAAGCTATAAATTTGTTGTTTTCAGTCAATTATGCCAACAACTGTACCAGAATTTGTTTTGTATGAGTTTTTTTCTGAGACTGTGCAATCTGATATAAAATGAGCTCATTTTATTTACCCAGATTTGTCAGCATTTCATAGGAAAGCAATATTAGCTATATAATGTCTCTTTTACAAAGTGAAAAATTAATAGATATCCCTAAATTTGCAAACATGTCCTATAAACCTGTGTAGTTCTTTTAAGTTTATCTCCCTACAGCCTATTTTCCAAAATGTGAATTATTTTCAAAAGCAAGATATATGTGGTCTTTATCACTATTATATACTTTCTTTTGTTTTTATTTCAAAAACAGTATTGACTTTACTAAAATCAGTTCCTTTATCCAAGTACATTTTAAGTGTTCATAATGGGAATAATTGTTTTTAATTTAAGTTTGAACTTTATGCATAAAATTATATTTTTCAATCTCAGTATAATCATTTTTCAAAACCTTTTTTGCAAAATAAAATATCTGTATCTTTATATAAATCCATAAAATATTTTCAAAAACAATTTTTTTTTCCATATAGATATTTTAGGGATTTTTTTAAATCCAAGTTTTATATAGAATCATACCTAATGATTCCAAAAATTACCTCCCAGTTCAGTTAATGAATATAGTTCTACATCAGTAAATCTGAAAAAAATGTAGATTGGAACAACATTGCATAAGAATCAAACTAGAATGTGAAAGAGTAAGAAAATTTTATTGATATGCTTACTGGAAGAATTAAAATGCCTGAGGTAAAATATAGAAAAAAATACTTATGAATTATTTCCCTGTTTAACCAGTAGATGTCATGTTTGGATGTCAAAGCCCAAGATTATTATACGGATATTTCCTTAGTTTCACTTTCTTTCTTACAAATGAGCATATAAGCATAAAGTATAATTGGCTCTGAAATTAGAGGACAAAATTAAGTGTGTTTGGTTTCAAAAATTTTTAAGATGCCCTTTTTCAATAAAATCAGGAAACATTTTTTCTTTTTAAAGCTTTTCCCCAGAAAAAGTTGAAACTATGTTCTGAGACATAAGCAAGCCTGCCCATGTTTAATCATAACAACTCAAAATTATTTCTGATTAGCTATTACTTATTACCAATCACTACTATTTATACACTATCTAAAAATGCTTTTTAACCTTTGTTTCCAAGGTAATATGATTATTCAACTAAATAAAACTTTCTCTAATTTCTTTTTTAATCTCATGATTCAAAGTAAAAAAAATGTAATAGATCTTATTGTATTTGATTATTCACATAGTCTTCCATATGTTATTCACATCTCCACCTTGTACCTTAATTTCTTTATCTATGAGGCACTGAAATAATCTCTCAAGTATTTTCTAATCTAATGCTCCATGAAAAAATATTACCTGTGATTTACCCAATGCAGAAAAAGCATTAAACAAAATACATTGGAAAGTGTTTGTAATAGTTTGCAATTAAATATAAAGATGATGGTGGAATTTTATAGTGAAATTTAATCTATTTGTAATTTAAGTAGGTTACATTGGAGCTTAATTTTTTACTACCTTGAATATAGATCATGATAAACAAATTCATATTACTTACAAGATCATGAGAATCTGTTTTTTAACTTCAGGGTAAAACTATTTCAATAACCTCTAAGGTGTTCATTTAGATAAATAATGTTCCTAGAATAATGACAATTTGCATTCATGGCATGCAGCCAGTTAGCCTTGTGGTAGTCAACAAAAGTCAACTACACTAGGATAGCTACTTCCTGAAGTGCTTTGATTATTTCCTGTCATTATTCTATCCTACTTCGCTCCATCCTCATTATCTGATGTCTCCCAGTCTTGCCCCAGAGAGATTCTAGCTGTTGGATCAGGCATGCTGCTGCCAGTCTCAGGGGAGGAAGAAGACCAAAGAGAAGTTTCTTACAACTTTAGGATACATTTTTTGTTATATAGATTTGGAGGTAATTTCAGGAGACAAATTTCAGCCTCTTTAAAGCATTCCAAATTGTAAGGTCTGTATTTCCTTGCACCAGAATAACCTGGAGTATTTGAGAATGTCTGGATTCCTGGTCACCACGTTAGAGATGAATTCATCCTTATGAATACTATATTTGGAAAGACATTATTCTTTACAATAAATATATGGCCTTTCAAGAGGAATATTTTTAAATGTTATGAGATAATTTTGAAGTGCCAATTCCTCCATATTTAAGCCAGATTTAATCTAAAATTAGTTAACATATCAAATCTAGTTTGACAGGCAAACATTTTATAGCAGCCTACAGTTCAGTTTTGGGACTGAAAATTATTTTAAATGACCATCTGGTGGGCAGCTACCCATCTCAGCCCTGCTACATGACTGTTCAAGTGTTGACTAAATACCTCAAGTGAAGGGAAATTTATAGTCTACTGAGGTAGGCCATTCCATATTGAAAGACTACTGGTAGAACATTTCTAAGTCAAAATATGTACCCTTTTAATAGGCAATCACTGGTATTCATCTTATTTCATAGACTTGTTAACATTTAGTCTGATTTTATCTGTGATTGATTTCAACTTTTAGAAAACCATTTGCCCATTTTTGAGAGATACTCCTTTTGTTTTCCTTGCTAAATAACCCTTAGTTGTGCCTGTAATCTCTTCTTGATTCTCTTTGAATGAATTGTTCATTTTATTCAGAATGTGCTACTTAGAACTGAATCTAATCACCCTTAGGTTTCCTCCTTGGTTAAACAACAAAAGCAATCCCCCCAGTCCTCATAGAAAATAAACACTAGACTTTTACTTCTGCAGTTCAATCTAGATAACTACTTTGTAATGATAATACTCCAGGTTTATATCACTTATCTAAGCAGCTCATTACTTCTTTATTAAGTTTGTAGGTATTTAATGTGTATTTTTTTTTTTCTGTCACCAGGCGCCAGGCTGGAGTGCAGTGGCACAATCTCAGCTCACTGCCACTTCCACCTCCCGGGTTCAAGCAATTCTCCTGCCTCAGCCTCCCGAGTAGCTGGGATTACAGGCACATGCCACTACACCCAGCTAATTTTTGTATTTTTAGTAGAGACGGGGTTTCACCATGTTGGCCAGGATGGTCTCGATCTCTTGACCTCATGATCCACCCACCTCGGCCTCCCAAAGTGCTGGGATTACAGGCATGAGCCACCGTGCCCGGCCATGGATGTGTGTATTTAGTTAAAACCTCTAGCTGTCTGATTCAGTTACTACTAAATTCACCTCAATTTCATTTTGAAAAATTTTGTTTCAAATACAAATTATCAAGAATGTTTTGATTACTGATTCCTTCACTGAGTATGTTGTTTTCCTCTAATCTGGAACTTTGCTATTTTTTTTTTTTTTTAAAGAGGGTCTGGCCCTGTCTCTCAGGTTGGAGTGCAGTGGCACAATCTTGGCTCACTGCAACTTCCACCTCCCCAGGCTCAGGTTCAGGTGAATCTCCACCTCAGCAAGTAGGTCCTCCTGAGAAGCTGGGACCACAGGTGCACTACACCATGCCAGGTTCTTTTTTTTTTTTTTGTAGACACAGGATTTTGCTATATTGCTCAGGTTGGTGGGTCTTTAACAACTGGGCTCAAGAGATCTAAGCACCTCTGCTGCCCAAAGTGCTGAGATTATAGGCGTCAACCACTACAGCTGGCCTAATCTAATTTCTTTTAAAAAAGAAAAGATGTTAAATGATGTTAAAGATGTTAAGTGATGATAAAAATACAGCTTTTCAACTTAAGAATTGCAAAGCTGCATGAAAAGTCTGGAAAAAATTTTAATTAATTTCAACTAATGAGGAGGCCATACCTCCTCATTCATTATGTTCCTAATACCTAGGACAATACTTTGCATTGAATAGGTTCTCATTAAATATTGTTGTATTATTAAATAAATATGATATTTGTAATAGAAAAAATATACTTCAGAATATTATGAAGTTGGATCTATACTCCAAATGGTATGTAAACTTTTCATTTGGGCAATTAAAAAAAATGAGATGGTTTGTATGTGCTATGTATACTATATGTAATTAACATTTGTTTAAAAATCTAAATATAAGCTAAATCTTGACCACATTGTTTGTTATTAAGTAATTGTTTCAAGTTTTATTAAGTTCACTTTATTGATGAAAGCTACAGGTAATACAAACACAAATTTTCATGTCCACTAATTGTTTTCCACACAGTGGATCACTCACTTCCTGAAATACCTCTTTTGACCTTTAGGATACCACATTTTTAGTTTTCCCAGAATTTATAGTTGTTCCCTCTCAGGCTTCTGTGTGGTTTTTATCTCCTCCCATAACTCTTAACCTTGGATTGCCCCAGTGCTTAGACTTTCGTCTTCTCTGTCTCCTCACACTCCCTTGGTGATATTATCAGTCTCATAGCTTTAAATTTAAATTCTATCTGCATGCCTATGGTTAGCAAGATGATAGCTCCAGTTTTGATCTCTCTTATATTCCAGACTAGTTATATCCTACTGCATATTTGATGTATCCATTTAGATCACTCAAATTATTTAAAAATGACTTTGATCTTCTCTCTCCAGATTTCATCCTCCCATAGATTTCCATTTTGCTTGATGAAAATTCCATTTCTCCCATCACCTAGGCCAAATACTTTTGTGTTCATCTTTCTTCTGTTCTCACACTGCTCATTCAATCAACCAGGAATTGTCACATCTGTTCTCAAAACGTATCCAGAGAAGTGAATGGATTTTAAGCATAGGACTTTTCTCATAGAATAATTACTAATGGAAGATATATCAGAAATGGTAAAAAGGCCAAAGGGAATAAATATGCTTACACTACAATATGCCATCATTCAAATTTAAGCACACTTTCTGTTTTCAGGAAAGGCCTATGCTCCAGAATTCTATTATGATACCTACAATCCTGTATGGCAGAACAGACACCGTGTTTATTCTTACAGTCTACAATGGACACAGATGAATCCTGATGCAGTGGATCGGATTGTTGCATATCGGTTGGGTATCAGGCAGGTGAGAAACCTAATCGATGACCTTTTTACTTTGTACACCTCTGTGAAGACCTTGTTATCATTTTTCTAGTAGTTTTGCATGAATTCCAAAACATATTTTATGTATATGTATGTATATGTATGTTTTCACTGTGTATTACTCTACACAAACTGTTCTGAGTTACATAATCTTTGAAATTAATTTACACAATTTTCACTATGACAGTAGACATACTGAAGTGACAGCGTTTGGGCCTTCTAAAATCCTTCATCACTAGATATGCGAGATAAATTACATGGTATAACTTTATAAAAGGAACTTAATTCAGATGTGTTCCCACTCACCTATAATGCATAATCATTTGTCTTGGTTCCTAAGAAGTGAGAAGTCAGACGTATTTTTACTTTAGGAGTTCAAGGTATATACAGAATGCTGCATAAGCTAATTTAATACGTCTGAGAAATAGAAATACTTTAGTAAAATGAGAAGAAATTAAAGTATGATAGTTTCTTAAGGGGGCTGAAGATCAAGGATTTTGTGGAAAAAATGATATCTTTTTCAAAGAGTTAAAATATTAAACTCATGTATCCTTTGTATAAATGATATTTTTGAAACTTAAATGTAGGTCTTCACATTTTTTCTTCTTAGCATTTTATCTGGATCAATTTCAGCATAACAAAACATTTTTGAAGATTTGATCACTACATAATCTATTAGCTCTCCCCCAAAACTTTGTATTATCCCTAGATTGGCAGTTTATGTTCCACTTTCTTAACTAAATCACCGAATAATCTTTTGAGTTGGGATGGTAGAAAGAATAAAATTTGCACGGACTAAGACCGATCAACCTCCAACAATTCATTCAGCTATTCTATCATAAAACCATTGTTTTTTAAATCTTACTCACAAGGTTACAATAAAATACCTGTATGATACATTACTCACATTAAGATACACTGTAAATTGCATCTTCTTAGTATGCCTGTTTAAGAATCTCAACAAAATGAAAGAGCTTTTCCTAGTGAAAACATCCTGGCCTTTGATAATTACTGGATTCTTGACTAAGTGCTCACAGGTTGCAGATGCCGCAGACCATAGTGCATCATTCACGATTATTTCTCCGGTTATCCCTCATTGAAAAAGGTCTGCAGGTAAATTGGAGCAAAACCAAAATCTATATTAATATTGTTCTACTCATTCTAATTTGGTAATTTCCTTTAACGGAGAATATATAAAGCAACAGCAACAAAACAAATTGGCAGTTCTTTCTCCCTCAGTTTGTGGGTTATTTCTTTTTTTCTTAACACAGCTAATATTTTATAAATTTTCATATTTGGAGTATGTAAAGCATTCTTGACTTTACATACCTCCTACTTTAAAAAAAAAACTCCTTACTACGTTGTTTAATCACATTCATTTTTTTCTTTGTACATACTTTCTAAAAAATCTAAATCTATGACTAAATTTTCATTTGTGAAATTAATTATTTTCTTTAGGTGATTTTTGTGCTATTCTCTGGTAATAGGTTTATTTGCAAGATAGAGTCATAAGTATATCTTCAGTTTCTCACTTTCTTCCTCAGTTATATTTTCTTGGAGTCTCTGAGTAACTTCCCATTACTAGCTGCGTGTTTTCAGCCCATAGAATTTACCCAACCCTACTCATCATCTTCTTCCTACATTCTTATGCATCTCAGAACCTTTGTTTACACTCAATATCTGTGTTATGGATGCAAATCAAAATCCTTATATAAAAGCCAAGTTTTAGTGAGTTAGAATTCCTCCCAAGAGAGATCCCACGATTTAAGCCTTCTCTTTGTAATCCATATCTTGTAATCATCCACAAACTATCTTCTGTAATTTTTTTTTGCTAGAATTGCTACACCATTTTCCAGTGATACATTCTTCTTCTGTTTTCCTTTCCTGGTGTGAATATCTCCAAATTAATTTTTTTATATTTTTAATCATAAAACTAGTGTGTAACTCCCTGATATTCAGTGACACACATTTCTCAGTCATTGTATTGTTCCTTTTGAACAAATTAGTAAATTTTCTCCTACTCTCCTTCTTTACAATAAATTATTTAGTGTCCATAGGTATGTATAAATTTTCCTTTTCTGTGTGTTTTTTCAGTAATGAATTCCAGACACACCTGGCTTCCAATTCTAGCCAATATAGCCTCATACTTTTATAGCTACATAACTTTGAGCATGTTTCTGAACATATCTAAGCCTGGGTTTTTACCCTGTAAATTGAAGATTACACCTGTCAGGCAACTGGTGTGTGACGTGGAATATATCCTCCACTTGTTCCACAGGCCAGGTACTCTTGTGCAGGGCACTCCTTGTACAAACAGTTATGGTGATTCTTATACTCATCTGTCAGTGTTGTATGTGGATTTTTTGAGAGTACATTTTGAGTTGAACATGTCTAATATTTTTATTATTTTAATTTTATTTAGGATACTCTATATCCTAGGCCTAAGCATTATTTCAAGTCATAGTTTTCACAAAATAATTTCTAGACGTTTTACTGTCTTATTCTCATTTGCAACCTATTGTCTTCTGTAAGATCTGTTTTATTGATTCACATTTTTCTCTCCCCCTATGAGTCTTCATTTAAAGCCTTCTTGATCAGATCAGTAAATCTCCTACTAATACTGTTATTTCCAGGCTTTGTAAGATGCATGCTATCCACTAGAGACAAAAACATATTTCTGGTCTAATAAACCATGGTCCAGAAAACAAATCTTTCCCCTACTCAATTTTTGAAGCTAACTTTTTACCTGCAACTGTATATGTTCTTTTCTGGGCTCCTTTGTTCTTAGGATTTTCTTTTATGTTTAGAAATAAATATATTTTTCTAGGGGGCTTTTCATGATGCTGTATTCTAATTGGTAATTTTACTCTTTCCATAGGAGAGAAAACTTTGATATATCTTTCAGGGAAGTTTCAATAAAGAGTAATGACTTTGTGCTATTCTGCCAATGTGAATAAGGTCTTGCTGTTTGTAGATGGAGTGTAAGAAGAGAAGGAGCATATATACACATTTCATTTTATTTTCCACAACTATATCCTCTGCACTGAACTCCTGCATAAAACATCTCTACATGCAAAATGGCCCCAGTGAGCAACACTGCCTTTGAAGATTCACTTACACATAAAAGTTTAGGATGATAGGACAAAAGTATTCTAGATAGGATAAAATTGATGTAATTTTTTAAAGAATCCCCTTTCAGTAACAGAAAACAAAGGCATTAATGTAAACAGGTGCATTTTTATATTATCTCAGAAAATTTAAATTTCTCCTTTACATTTAAATATCGATATTATCTTAGGGCACAATCAGATACTAACTTTTAAAAATCACCTTTGGTTAAAGACATCACTCTTGAATTCAGAGCTGTTTATTATTTTCATGAAGATTTTTATGTTACACATATGTAGCCTTTTTTGTCTCCCAAACTATTTCAGAATGCTAAATCAATGAGCTTTTGAACACAGTAAACGTAACTTGGATGGTTTAAATAAACCGAGTCAGGCGTGTAGCCTACAATATACATTTTAAATACATGGATTTCTGTCCTAATAGCTGTGGTTCATGTCTTTTACTATAAGGTCAAATTTTATTCAAAGGATTAATTTATGTTACATATTTTGTGATTTTAAAGTCTTATTATTTTAAGCAATATTTCTATTTTTAGCCTATAGATGTAAATAATTTATTCTATCCATAAAATACCTGGGTTGTCTAGTAGAAAATATCTCACCTCCTAATATCAAACATTGCCTTAATTACATAATGCATTTGTATATGAGATGAAGTCTGAAAACAAATTAGATTCTTTAATGCTAACAGAGAATTCAGTTCTTAAGACTTTACCTTGTTTTTAATCCAGAAATCTTTAGAAACCTTATTACTGAGTCTTAATTAAATAGGGTTGTAAAAACCATTGCTGTGTTATTAAACTCATATATGTATGGTGTTGATAAACTGAACCCAGCATTCCTTTTAGCTTTCTGGTAACACTACCTTGACTCTTTTGTTTAAGCTGTATGGTCTATACTTAAATATGATTAGGAAAATTGTCTAAGATTTTAGTATTGACTTACACAATTTTTTAAATAAAATAATGCATTATATCTAGTAACAAAAAGCACTGAAATTCTGGAATCACTGCTTTAAGAAACTTAAAAAGAGAACCAATACATAATGAGAAGCTAAAAAATTAATTTGTGCATAAAAGTTTTCTCAGAAATGTTATGCCCTAACAAAGTTGTACTTTTTGGGCTCAGCTAAGCAATTGTTTAATCTCCTTAGACAGCTACTAACCTCCAATTATTTGCTTCATTTGTTGCTTAACAGGAAAGAGAAAATTGTTATTTGAATGTCTACTTTCCTTGTTATCTAAGGAATTAAAAAAACAAGAAAATATTTCTAAGTTATCTAAACATACCAAGCAATGTAAACATCATTTGACTTCATTTGAAATGTACACAATTACAGTTTTAAATAAATGATTTTATACAGTTTTCTTTTTATATTCACCACGGAAATACACAATGATGTGACTTTTTTACTATCTTTGCAAAATAGGAGATTTTATCCTTAAAAAACCCTTAATTGACCCATTCCTGTCTTAAGTCATGATGTATTAAAATATTTAGAATTATCATACTTATTTGCTCTCCCAAGCAATACAATTTTAATTAAATTATATGAGGTAACTGCCAGGAATTTAAAAACAAAGAATTTTTATCCTCAATGTCTTATAAAAGCAAGTATAATAGAAATAAACACACAATACCACAGAAACTGATGGGGGCAGTTAGCACTGCCAGGTCGCTGGCCAAGAGACATAATCACTAATGTGCAAACTTCATTTATTTGTTAGTTTTAAAGGTTTATCCCCAAACTTTCTTCTTAAATGATGACCACGAGTAATCACTAATTACTAATCAAAAATTACCAAGCAAAAAAGATATTTTTGATACAACTGATTGTTGGTTAACTTTCTTTACC